TAGAATAGAATAGAATAGAATAGAATAGAATAGAATAGAATAGCAGAATTGAAAGGGACCTTGGAATTCTTCTAGTCCAATCCCCTGCCTAGGCAGGAAACCCTACACCACTTCAGACAAATGGTTATCCAATATCTCCTTAAAGACTTCCAGTATTGGAGCATTCACAACTTCTGGAGGCAAGTTGTTCCACTGATTAATTGTTCTGTCAGGAAATTTCTCCTCAGTTCTAAGTTGCTTCTCTCCTTGATTAGTTTCCAACCATTGCTTCTTGTTCTACCCTCAGGTGCTTTGGAGAATAGTTTGACTCCCTCTTCTTTGTGGCAACCCCTGAGATATTGGAACACAGCTCTCATGTCTCCCCTAGTCCTTCTTTTCATTAATGGTTTCCTGCAACTGTTCTTCATATGTTTTAACCTCCAGTCCCTTAATCATCTTTGTTGCTCTTCTCTGCACTCTTTGTAGAGTCTCCATAATTCAGCTATAATTCAGCAGATGTTTTTTTTTAGACTAAACCTTATTGAATATGATCTTCCTTGTGAACCTATCTTAAATTACACCAAAAATGTTTTTTGAGAACACTTGCTTTTCCTTTTCCTTCCTTTTGCATCATTTCTGGGATGTTGCTCCTCTGAGCTGAATCATCACGATTCCTTGCTAAATCTGCTTTCACACTGTTCTTTATTCACTCCTTCATTGCAGAACATGTTGTAACCTTTGATCGCACAAGAAATCCTTCTTTGCCACTAACTGTGATCTTCCCCAAATAGAACAGGAAAAATAATTAAAGTATGAATAAAAACAAGTGTTGGGAAAAAAATAAGCTGTTCCAGATGGGATGATGATTAGACGAGGTGATAGACTGATTACAGAAGCATCTTGAAAAACCATGAGCACATTATTTACACATATTACATGTGGTCAGCAGTGCTTTTCTGGTTAACTCTGAAGAGTGACTCCAGTCAGTCTCAAGTGGCAATGATTCTTAATTTACCCAAGAATGCTTTCATGCAAAGGAATAGATACCCTTGTACGTAATACCAGTATGTACACATTAATCAACCCTAGTGTAATGTAGTGATTCTACTAGTTATAACATTGTGCTTGAATGTAATAAGCTTACATTAAAGATTTGGTATCTATGTATTTTTAATTATATTGTACAATAGGACGCTTAAATATGCCAAGATTTTTGCACCACAGTCTAAGGTAGTAGTAGGGAACTTTAGTCTCTCAAGATGTTCTTGAACTACAATTGGCCATGCTACGTTTTATGGATTTGTTAGAGGGAATGAAGAGTCACTAAATTTGTTTATACTTGTGATGAGGGTTGGAAGTCACTTATATATATATTTTCTTTTTATTATATTCATATTTTTTGTTTCTTCTCACTTTCTTTTTTATTGCTATTTTACTACTTTCTGTTCTCCTGTGTTTCTTTAAGTTTACTTTGCATTAGATTTTATCATTATAATCAAAATTCTTAATAGAAATTTCACACACACACACGCGCACACTAACCAGTTGACCTAGCTGAAATGCTTTTGGTTCACTACTTCTGATCCAGTACGAATGGATTAATATTACTGAGATTACATATTAAAGTATTGATATAAATGCCATAAAATAGAATAGTCTCTGTTTTTTTAATGTGTGTTAGTAATCACCAGTGGAGTAACTCTGGGCATGAACCTAGTGCCCCAATGACCTGCAGCTTACCATATGGGCTGGAAAGCAATGGCTTTGAGGGTCAGTTCCATTCTATTCCTCACCTGTAGCAGTGGTGGGTTGCTCCCAGTTCGGCCGAACCAGTAGTAGTGGCGACAGGAGACCCGGAAGTGTGTGGGGGAGTGCACCCGAACCAGTAGTAAAAATATTTGCAACCCACCACTGACCTGTAGCCTTTGTCCCCCTCTATAACTTTTCCTCCATTGTTGAGGAAGGAGTACTGACAGGCCTGTCTTTCCAAATTTGATTTCTCTCAGGAGAGGAGGACAGGAGATATGAATGTACTTCCTGCCTTCTGCTTTTTCTTACTATCTCCCTTTGGTAGCATTTTCTAGTTTTGCATAGAAGGGAAGCCTCAAAAGTCTACTATTTTCTTCCCTTGCCATTCTAGATTTCCTTCCAAAAGATCATTGCTCTCTTCTCAGAATCTTCTGCTATGGTTATGCTATCCGTTAATAGTGATGAGAAGGCAGATTTGATTCAAGCAGCATACTGTTTCAAGGACTAGTGGTTTGACATTTTTTTTATTATAGGAATAAATAGCAACCATTCCCTTAAATGAGGGAAATGAAAAGAAATGATACCAAGCCAAACATTCCCAAAGGAAGGAGAGTCTAATGGTGTTACCTTCACTGAAAAATTCCCTTCTTTTGAAGATGTATGAAACATGGGTTTCCCAATACATTTGCTCAAATGTGATTGGAAGTTGGAAGTTGAAGGCTACCTCTAGTCTAGACAGTTCAGCCATGTTGTTTTAATATTCCATTTGTGCATTATTCTTATGTTGCTTTAATGTTAAATAATTTGATCATTTGGTGATGAACAATAGTCAGAGTAATAAAGAATATCTATACTTGTCAATAACCATCAGACTTGCACTACTTTGTACCCATAAAGAATATATTGTGCTAGAGCAGATGACAATTTGTATAGCTGCCAATATAATGTGCTTTTTATTTAAACTGCCCTGATGTTTCTTTGATCATTTGCTCCACTGTCTAATAAGACTTTAGATTAGTATTAAAAGTACAATTGCAAAGCATAAGTTGGGAATGTTCTTTGTAGGAGAATTCTTGAACAGTCAGGGAAAAGCAACATGATAGCAAACCTGATCTATTTCCAAAATAAGAGACGGGTGTCAACTGGATCCAGTTTCCAATAAAAGGCAGACTAAACACTTCCATTATAAAGGGCAAGCAAGAAGACTGGTGCAAAAGAATTTGAATATTGTAAAAAGGATTCTTGCTGTTACAGCTCAACTGTCCCAGGAAATTCTCTGGAATTTTTTGTTAGGGTTTCTAATGCTTCTGGTAAAGAATGACTTATCGGGAATTTTTGAATTCTTGTGAGCTTGCTCAATTGGTTCAATTCTTTGACTTTTGGATTATGTCTGACATTGTGATAATTGGTTGCATATTTAATGACTTGCACAATTTGTCCCTGAATATCAACCTTTTCCTGTAACTTCCTTTTTTCTCTTCTTTGTTTGATCAGGTTTCTCTTCTGGTTGAAGACTTGCAGCCATGGCTCTGGACAAATATCTGCTCTTTAACGTGAGTACCCAGATAGCAGCCTTCTGCTGTCTGTGGCCAGGACCTCTGAACGTCAACTGAAAGGTCTGACAGCCCATTCATCCTTTCGCCCTCTCCCTTCTAAAATCATCCGTCTGTCCAGTCACCCATGTCAATTTGCTATGACATACATCAGCGTTGATGAGAGGCAGGAACACTCTCGGGTAATTTTGAGCTGCCACAATAATCAGCTGTATGTGCAACATGGCTTCAAGGAGTTCTCAATTAGCAACACGCATCCATTAAAGAACATGGACACTCGTATTTTCACTGGAGACTTTAATCCCGTAAATAAAGGGGGCAACAATGCAGGAACACATCTATACCAGAGCATGGAGAATCTACACTGGGCCACGGTAGCTGATCCACACTGCCATCCTCGCTGTGGAAATGTAGACAATAAACTTGTCTTTCATTGCAAAGGCGCAGCCCACTCTTCCGGGTATTCCATGGAAGATTCTCTAACTCCCAGTTCACCTGAACGTTACCGACACTTCTCCCTTCCATCAGAACAAGGGATCCCTTCAACGCAAGATATAGCGATTTCCTTTTGTGCCAAAGTGCCTCCGTGGTTTCTTTCCTCCATAAGTGGGGATGCCAAAAAAATCCTGAAAGAAAAACTTAGAATTCACAGTGGTAAAGCTCCTGAGATTTGCAAGCCCCTCAGAGCTCAGCCTTCTTTGAATGATTCGGTTGCAAGGGAATGTTCTCAATGCTGGGTCTGCCAGCAATACAAGAATGGTTGCTCCTCTAACTGTTGCACCATATTTGTGCAGCATGCCACTCTTGCCCATGCCCCCTGGCCTTGCTTTCATAGCAGGCTAACCAGCCCAGAAGACATCAAGCAAGAAGCCCAGAGAAGGTTGCAGATCAGGAGGCAGAACAGCTCCCCCAACTTGACCCTGCATTGTGCCCATGATAGTCAGAAAGTGATCAAATCCCAAACTATGGGATCATTAAATGGAGAGGGAGAGAGAGGAGATTGCAAAGGGGCTCCGGGAGAGAGCAAAAAAGCCAATTGCAAAGAGAGGCTCTACATTCCAACGTTTGAAGAGTTCAAGAGGATGAGAAGCAGGGAAGCCCTTTTTCTCAATGGCAATAGTGAAGTTGTGAAGGACAAAATGGAAGCAACTCAAACGTTGGAGGAAAAAAGTCAAAATCAGGATCAAGTTAAAGGAGTAGTTTCAGCCATAGATGACGACGATGAGGTGTTTCATGAAAACAGCCAGAATGCTTCCAGGTTTGTTGGCTGTGAAGAAAATTCATCCACGTGGGACAGAAGTTTCTGCCTAATAAATATCCCTATGGCCAGGGATAGGATTTCTGAAATTCCAGCATCAGAAACTGTGCCAGTTCCCATCTGTTCTAGCCCAGTCCCAAGATCACCTCTGCAACCTGCTGCGGCATTTAGGAAAGAGGGCAAGAAAGATTTTGCGGACGGAGAGAAGCAAGGATTGGATGAAACAAATATCAGGGAAACCCTCCATTGCGCTGGACAATCGCTGGTGCCCGAAACTCCATCGTCTTGCTGCCCGCTGCTGTTAGAGACAACCGATATTTCCAGTTATGGAGCTAAGCTTCAGAAAATGAAAGATGAATTTATAGGTACTGCTCTGGACCTCATTAAAAAGAGGTAATCGTTTGTTAGAGATCCTGAGGAATGTTAAGTCCGAGGGAACTTAGTAATATCTAATACTTTTTATATTTGTTTGTTGTCAAGGTGAAGTAGGTAGGTTTCGACTAGTGGGAAAATTGATGTCCTGGGTAGCATCCTTCTGGGCTTTTGGAAAGTTTCTTCTCAGATAATCATATAACTTCAACCCAAGAAGCAGGGTTGGTGTCCTGTGAATTTATATTGTGTAAAACAAACAATGTTTTTGTTTCAAAGGAACAGCTTCATGTTGTGCTTCGATGATAATTTTGTTCCATGTTACTAGAGCTTAGTTCGCACTTTATGCCAAACCACAAAGAGGCTTGGCTTTAGTTTGGCGTGATGTGTAAACCTCGACTTTTGGCTTAGCATTCTTCATTAATATACGTAACAGGTTAGCACAATTTACGAACCCCAATTTTTATTTGGTGCAGAAAGGATTTCCTACATAACTGATGGGAAAGTAACAGTGGGATTAGATCCTTTCCTCTATGTGGCATTTATTTATTTATTTGAGCACGTTGAAGTGACTGGAATTTATTACATGACTCTGTCCTATTAATGCTCATGAGCTATGTTACACATAATGCAGGGGTCTCCATGGAGTAGGGGTGGAGGGATAAAAATGCCAAGGGGAACATGACCTGGCAATCAAAGCCCTGCTACTGTGTGCAGTGTACATAGCAAAGGGGAAGGGAACTTTTAAAAATCCCCCTGCAGAAGCTATTGATGTGATGCCACACTAGGATTGAACACTGTGATGGAACCTAGTTTCTCCGTGTCCTCTTCCTGTCTGTCAACGTGACAGTTAACATATCACTTGCCATTTAAACCATGGAATGTAGTCAGTCTTAGCTATAGGGCTGGCAAAAACAAGTCACTTTATAAATATGGGTTTATTACAGTCTTAACCAGTGTTACAATTAACTGCATTTTTGTGGGTCTGGATAACATGGCAAGTTTAAAGTTTAAAAACTTTCCTGAAACCTCCCAAATTGATTGGAGGAAGAAGGGGTCCCAGGAGAACCTAGAGAAAGGCCAATCTTATTCTGAAAACCATCAGGTGTCCCTTGCTCAGTCTGATCACTTGCTAATTCTACTTGAATATGCATTAGGTAAGGTTACACTAAGGAGATCAATTTCTGTCTTAATCATGGGGCATTCAGAGTGACATCTAGATTACTGTCACAGCCATATAAAATACTCTTAGAGGCCCCCTTTAGAAAATTTGGGGCAGTGATTCAATAATAGATGGTGCATGGACATTAGTACTGAATTAGCAAATGTGCATATTTGGGACAAAATAGTGCATAAGGCAAAATGCAGTTTTTCTGTTGAAATTATAAAACTGAGTCAGGAGTTTCTCAGAATTTAGCTTTGGCTATTCCAGCAATTTACAGCTCAAGGCTATAGAATTGGAGGTAATACTTAAGCAGCTATGTAGATTGTTGCTAGATTTGGGAGTTAAAACATTCTCAGGCCTCACTCTTGGTCTTTTGATAAGGAAGAAACAATTGGAAAATTGGAAAGCTTAAAAAAAGAAAAAAGAAAGAAAAAAGATACAAAGATGTAGCTTCTCATCTTTTTTACAGTAACCATAAAAACAATTGTAGGTTTGCCTCTTTCTCTAAAGTTACATTGTGACTTTCTTCTTTACTATTGAATCCTTAAAACCATAGATCATAAATTCTTCTGTTTTATGCAAAAGGTCCATAAAGGGTTTGCAGCCATCAATAAACGTATATATTGTCTAATCAAAGAGGTCAATTTGGCTATCTCAGTGTATTCTATCATGTTCACCACCATTCCTCTGTTGTAAATACAGCTATATCTTTCCATCTTTGTGCTTCATTTTATTTTTCTTTCCTTTTTCCTTTATGCATTTTCATTTCATTTTCATTCATTCATTCATTCATTCATTCATTCATTCATTCATTCATTCATTCATTCATTCATTCATTCTATATGTTGCCCATCTCTTTGTCCAAAGTGATCCTGGTACAAAATTTTAGTTTGTACTAAATTTTGCCCTTGTTTTTAAAACTTTCAATAAGATTATATTAAAAAAAGGGAAGAAGTCCTGGGTTTACTTTAGTAACATGAGACAGAGAAATTGTTTGAAATGAGCCAGTAATACCAACTATTTCCGTGCAGTGTCTTACTGGCTACTTTCCTCACATTGCATTTCAAACTATGGTTTGCTAAACAAGACATTATGGTCTATTTCATACATAATCCTAAGCCATCATCATAAGTGGCTGAATTCATATATTGTGCTTTCCCAAAATAAAACAAATTATATTTTGTTTTAGTGATTTTGCGAAGGCAATCATGACTTATTTTGGCATTTTTAAGTATCTTACAATTCAAAATTGCAATTAGTAATATATTAGCTGCTCAGAATTTAAATATAGCTCCAAATGAACAACCAGTCACACGACCAATTGATCACATTGACACACAAGACATTTTTAAGCTAAGGAGAATAAGACAAGAAAATCGTGTGGATGGTGTTACCTAGTCCGTTAATGAAATGTTCAGAAACTAAATTGAAACAAGCTTGGAGAGCAAATCTCTGCCAAAATACTCTTATCTTTTTGAAAAAAAATATTTTAATGGGGTTTCCAATAATCTTCCTTTGGTTAGTCAATGGTAAATACTTAATGTATTTGTTCTGAATCACACATCACATTTATCATCATAGGAAATTTCTCACAGAATTCAATTGATAGACCCTCTCCTGAAATGTAGAATAGCAAAGAGCATGATTTACTGTTTACTATTAATAAATAGTAAAGAGCATGATTGAGGGGATTATTTGTTTGTATTTTAAAACTGAATTATATCTACTGCATAGGCTAAATCATTCTCAATAGTTTTTTGAATCAGTTGCTGTTCATCTTCTTTTGCATACTGGATAAAAGTGTTCTGAGTTGTACAAATACTTGGAGGGAGTTATAGCCGCCAAATCTGGAGTGTAGCCAATTGGGGAAGGCTAAGCTAAGCAATGTAAATTCTGCAGGCAAGACTTGGAAAAGAATGGTGAGTGGGGGAAGTATAGGAAGAAGAGAATTATGTATGTAATCTTATGGGTGGGATATTAAAGCCTGCACTTTTTGTGAAATCAGGAGTCACTTTTTTTAAAGATTGTTTGTTCTATTTGATTTTTCCACCTTTTTCCTTTCCTTTTCTTTTTGCACTTTTTTCTTGTTTTTTTTCTTTCTCATTTCAGTTCAATTCAGATTCTTTAGACTTAGAATAACAAAGTTGGAAGGGAACTTGTAGGTCATCTAGTCAACTCCCTGCTCAAGCAGGAGACCTTGTACATTTTTGACAAGTGGCTGTCCAGTTTTTTCTTGAAAAGTTCCAGTGTTGAAGCATCCACAATTTCTGAATGCAAGCTGTTCCATTGATTGATTGTTCTCAGAAAAATTCTCCCTTATTTCTAGCTTAAATCTCCCCTTGATCAGTTTCCATCCATTGTTCCTTCAGATGCTTTGGTTGTCCCCCTCTTCTCTGTGACAGTACTTCAAATATTGGAACACTGCTATAATGTCATTCCTGGTCCTCCTCTTCACATGACTAGCCATTAAATGCTTCTGTTAAAATTATTTTTTTCAAAAAGAAGAGGATGGAAGCTGGAATTAATCTCAATAAATGGGCAGAGAAGCAGAGCTTTATTATATCTATCAGTGTACCTATACGGACTACCATATATACAAAGGAATGAAGAAAAAATATATGAGGGTAATCAGGAAGATGGTTGAAAAAAAAACTTCAGGCAAAAGGTTTTTTGGATTTAAGCAACAACGCTTTGTTACACAAATGGTCAAAATAACCACTTATTTTATGATTACAAAGAAAGAGGGATGGAAAATAGTTGACATTCTCAGTCATCGAAATACCCAGTCTGTACAGCTTTGGACCAGAGTTCTGATGAATTTGTGCTACTGATCATATTGGTCAGGGCTGATTATGCATGAAATCAAGAGCATTTAAAAGCATTTCCTGGACTACTGTGGTAGAGGCAGATGGATGAAGAATGCACAAGAGATAAAGTACTTTTAAATGTTGGGCCAGTTAGATAGAAATGTGCTTCCAGTGGAAAATCTGGCTGGTAGAGACATTAATGCAAATGATTATATAAATAAATAAAGGACAGGGGTAGACCACTACAGCAAAAAACAAAATCTAGGACAAATTTGATAATTAAACATGTTTTTGGGAGCCCTGTTTTCTGCTATATAAAAGCCACTTGCAATGCTTTGGTATAATAAGAAGCTTACGTTGGTTCATTTATAAGCACCTCAGCTTTTTTTCCAGTTAGCATCTTCCTAAACTGATCCCACGCCAGATAGTGTATCTAAGCTTATTAATTTTTTCCTCATCCTGAAGTCATCAGTTTCCTTGTTCAGTTACAACATTTGATGATCTAATAGAAGATGAGAGAATTCTTCATGAATGTATTTTATTCTCCTTATGTACACTGAGAGCATATGCACCAAAGACAAATTCCTTGTGTGTCCAATCACACTTAGCCAATAAAGAATTCTATGACCTAGATGAAAAAACAGTTGGCCAGAAGAAGTGAGAGAAGGAGAGGGAGGAAGAGAGAGAGAGGAAGAGAGAGAGAGGAGGAGGGAGGGAGAGAAAGGGAGGGAGAGAGAATAAATTTATTCAAATGGAAAAAAGTTTCCTATGTCATTCATTAGTTGACCAAATGGGCCAACATTTAAAAGTATTTCCTCTCTTGGGCATTCTTTATTTGTCTGCACGCGCTATGGAAATCTACCAGATGCCTTGTAGAATCATCATCTTCAATAATACCAGTTTTTGAAGTTTTAGTGAAAAGTTGTTGCCTATTTCACTACCAGAACATTGGATAACCTTCTAGGACACAAGTCCTCTATTAGCTAACTATGTTAGACAGCTGACTTTTGAACACCATCTGTAGGCTGTGACCAGGGGGGCATTTGCCCAGGTTCGCCTGGTGCGCCAGTTGCGTCCCTACCTGAACCGGGAGTGCCCTTGTGACCTCTAGACTGGACTACTAAAACGTGCTCTACATGG